AATGTATCCATTACCAATTGCCCAAACAGACTTATACAGACTCTACGCAAACACCGGCAATTTGGGTCAATGTTTGTTTATTTGTGCTTCAATCAACCCAAAACGCATAAAGTTAAAAGCAAAACCGAAACAGCATTGACCTATGCCCATAGACGACAGTCTTGGGCAGGTCTTTCAGTCCATTACCATTGTGAGTATTGTTATATATGTATCTATATATATGTATATATAGGTATATATTTGGTTTTGGCTCTATAGAATTAGTAGTAAATAAAATTACTTTACGTTTCCCGCGAATACGATCCATCAGACGCTTTAAGACTCGTACGCCGGGCGTGCGATTCAATCGCGAGTTCAATCTATTTGCAAAACCCTGTAAGATATCTGTGATTTCTCTTTCGAATACTTGCAAAAAGGCCTGTAAAATGTGTCAAAGGATTAACATTCGAGTACACAATATGCATAACTCAATCAATTTGCATCAGATATATATCTCGCACATATCTAAACACATTCATACTCACATTCATGTGCATATTGAGCGCCACAATGCGATCGCTCTGCGTGTAGGGCGCCGATGCATCCTCATCAAAATCGAAGTGCACCTTCTGCACATAGGTAATCTTGGAGCCATCTCGGGAGAAGTGCTTGACCTTCTTCTGGCGATATTGTCTAAGGAGATAAGGGGAAAGATTTAATAAGTATAAGTATAAGTATAGATATTGTCTTTACTTACTTATAGACATACGGTCCAATCTCCTCGACAATTGGTATGGCACCTTGTTGTATCATATCGGGATTCGTGACATTAAATATGTAGACCTTAAAGTTCAACGGCTGTGGTAGCTTTATAAAGCGATTGAACTGTTCCGAGCCATCGGCAATGATCACGCTCTAGAAGAAATACGATATTGTCATAATGAGATATGCCTATGATTATAGCAGCTTAGAGCTCATAAAAAAAAGTCACAACTTTATATTCTGATTATATTCGACATTCATCATCTTCTTCACAATTCGCAATTTTGTCATCGCTTGTCGCCTTAACAACTGAATTATGATCGAAATGATGAATTAGTAGCCATATAAATCGCATCAGCCTCATCAAGACGTCGCCCCAGTGACGCCGGTGAACCAGTTTTTTCTCAGTTTACTCTTAGCAGACAGCAAGCAAATATCTCAACAGTAAAATTTGTTAATTATTTTTAATATACGTATACAAATATTTTTAATTCTTTTGAATTTATTTGAAGCGCATTTCTCGCTGCTGTTGTCAAAGTGCAATGACCGAAATTCCTAATAACAAAATATTTTTATTTATTAGATTGAACGTGAACGACTCATATCGTTCATATATCATTTTTCAAAATGCATTTTTATTTTGTGTGCGACCCTGTGCGAAAATTAACACTGGACTGTAGGCGCCTTGACTAGAAGCTTCCATAAATATTAACAATTCCCTCTCGAAGCAAATAAATGCCAAAAATTGGCAACAAAAACCACATTAAAAAAACACGAAAAAACAATATAAATTTTATAGTGGGGCCACGTACTACAGATATGGACATACGTACTACACATGATACAATTTGAGGAATTGTCAAAAAAGAGATCTTCGAAAAGCATAAAAATAACCACAAATATTTCAAGGTCAATGCACACAGAGACACGCACATGCACACAAGCACACGCACACTGACACACGCGCCGCGCTGCCAGCGTCGGAGTCAGCCAGTGTAAAGAGCATACAAAACGTTTGATTAACCTTAAGAGCTGGCAAACGAAGAGAGTCAAAGATAATCAACGACTACAAGAGCCGCATTGACACTGGCCCAAAATTCAGTTGGCAGCCAAACAAAATAATAATACAAAATAACAAACACAAAAACAGAAAATATAAAATAAAAACAAAATAACTATTGCGAAATTGACCAATTTTAACAACTACAACAACAACAAATCAAAGTCACAGCAAGCGCTAAAACGTGACTGAAATTTATATAAAAAAAATCTTATTCGTATGCAAATGTGTCTGCGGCAGACTCAGTGGTTCAGTGGCTCAGTCTCTAAGAATGTGCCCAGTCGCTGGGGTCAACGCGGCGTATGCGTAATAAATAATTGTGTAGACTTTCTAGCCCAAGAGACCGCCGAATATTACGTGCTAATTGCCTGGCCTTTTAAGCGCAATTGCATAATAATTTGTCCATCAATTGCTTTGAATTTCAATTGGTTTTTCATTTGCATGTTTGAATGACAAATAGAAAAGCCTTATATGGGCTGCCTTCAACTTGAAGGCGACAACGTTTTTTGATAGCACCAACCTTTGGCCGGCTCTAGGCTAAGTTTGAACTCTTAGCCATTCTAGATTGCATCTGAACGACATGCCGCATACGGAACTCAACAATGCCTCGTAAAGCGTAATAAAAACATGGCAAAGTTGACCTCATCCATGGGCGCTACCGAGGCAAGGTTGTTGCCGCTGAAAGAGCATGACAACCCTAAAAGCACAATTAATGCGAGCTGCGAGCTGCGGCCCACCATGGGCAGGGCCAGGGCAGGGCAATTAAAAAGCACTGCGGCACATTCTAATTACAAATTAAACAACAACAACAACAACAACAGCAACGTCTGGCCATTGGCAATGAATCAGCGCCTTGAGAACCCATTGCAATGATATACATAAAAGAGAAGACCTAGTATTTATACATATATAAAACTTTTACCTTAACAACGCTTTATCTGATTACATTTAACATTTATATAATATATCCAACAACAATTCCCATGTTGAATTTGGAGGAAATGCTGACTGATTGTATTTCTCCCATAGCCTGATGTGATATTAACCTCTGAGTATTGGATTGCATATAGATTGTATCTAACATGTTTTGGCTCGTAATTTGATGGGTTCATATAAAACAAATGGTAACGGTACTTTTATATTTAATGTGCCATGTTCTGCCGCGTCATTCATGACGATAATGAAGCCCTGTCGCAACTGTGTAGATCGACGCGATGTTATGCAATTGCCCGATGGGGCTATCGTAATGAGTTATGGCTGCATGTTATATGTAATAGCTCCGTGTTCTTTTGAAGGTCATCGTTGACAATGTACATCGGCACTTTTTAAGTGCGAATGGGTGCATGGCTGTTAACCCATCTGAATGAGTCAAAAGTGGCTAAGAACATGAGCGAACATATGAATATGAAGTTATTGTTTACTATTAACAGCAGCTTAAAGGTTTGCCAAGAATATAGAAACAAAACGAATAACTTTGGGGAACCCCAGCTATGAGCTATAATTACACATGCCAACAAAATCTAATGCAATTCAAGAAGCACGAGCATGCCTTGGTTATTTCAAACATAACTCTAGGATATCGTTTACTAAAATATCCTAATAACTTACTTTGATAGTACTTAACTCATTCAAGAATGTGATTCCGCATACTGAAATCATTAATAATAAAAAAAGACTTGCCAACTGAACTTTGTTGACCTGTGTTAACTCAGAAGAAAATACCAACTAATATATGTTTAGAGCTTAAATTTAATCTTGCCATAAGAAATATGTATATGACTCATCGTAATATTTATCTTTGAAAGCTAGAATTTATAAATTTTTTTTCAATTTTTGTTACATAGATTATTAATCAAATTTTATAAGATTTTCTTTTCTCTTCAGCTGTCTTGAGAAATCTATCATGCATATACATATATGTATATATCTACCTTCATCTATTGCCATTTGTCTGCTTGCTAATATTAAGAATAAATACATTTATGCATTGCGAAATTTCACAATTCCAACATTTATACAGCAAATAAATAAATACATATACATATATTTGTCTGCCTATTACCAAATATTTGCACTTTGTCTGTTTGTTAACGAGAGAAATTGTTGTTGGAAAAAAAAACTGTGAATTCCTGAGCCCATCTTGAACAGCTGCGAATTGGCAAAGCCTTCAATTAGCTGTTAGATAAGTGTGCTCTACGCAGAACCCTTGACAGTCAATGCATTGAAAGAGAATATATATGCATATATATATTATATATATTGTTAATAAACATATTTGCTGTGAGTAAACCATAAACAACTGTGAATCAGCCAGGCTTTCAATGATCAGTTTAGGAAGTTTGGTCAAGGCAAATGGAATACTTAGAGAATAAACACATTGTACTGGAATTTTAAATATGTATTTCTAATGAAATACTCTAATTGCTAAATAACATATTTGCAGCGAGCTTGGGAGTTAACCTTCAACAGACTTACAGCGAGTACTCAGAGTCCTTAAGGACCACAAACTATGCAGCTTATCAAATAAATTCTCATTAAATAGTCTACTTTCCATATCAAGACTCACCTGTTCGACCTTCTTGTGTATCATGGTGGGGAACAGTGACCAGCCGCAGTAGGCGCACAGCACAGCGACAATGGCGCCCAGGGCGCTGACAATCAATGACCAGTGTAGCATTTTGTGCACTTTCAACAATCTACGGAGCAGCTATGGAACACCGCGAATGGCAGCCGGCACAGCATGGGCTGATTTAGGGGAGTCGAGGTGGACTGAGAGACAGACAGCTGTTCGTTACGACTTTGTGCCGGCAGCTCAATCAGCGCATAGTTTGAGATTTATTTATTGATGTTGGCTCTCGCAGTTGCCTGACCTACGTCAAGACAGCTGCCACTTGTTGTTGTTATTGTTGGGTGCTGTTGGTGTTGTTGGTGTTGGTGTGGTTGCTGATGGTCGCCAGCGTCTGGTGCCGAAACAAAGCGCACTATTTATAAGATATACGCGCTTTCAGGTTTTCGCCTTTTGTTATATATACACTTATATTTTGAAATAAACAAGTTGTTGAATGCTCTACGATGCGTTCGTTGGGTTAGTTTTTTAGTTTTTTTTTGGTTATTTTTTCTTCAGTTTGGTTTGGTTTTTTCTTTTTCTTTACTCTTTGCTTTGCTTTCTGCGTTATATGTATGTAGCCATACACATATAAGAAATATTGTAATTTATAATGTCTTTTATTTTTTGCTGCCTTTTATTATTTGTTGTAGTAGAAGCGCTAAAGGGAGAAAACTAGTTTTGCGCCTCGCGTTGCTTTATTTTTTGCTCGGAATTTTGAATAATTTTGGAATAATTTGATTCAACTAATTTATATGGGTCAACATCTGAATGCGCTGAAGCTCATCCGTGAACTGACAGCTCAGGATAACAGCAACACATATTTATGCACTCTCTGTACACACTCACTCACTCACTCACTCACACTCGCACTCACACTCACACGCGATAGGTGATGTGTGTGTGTGTGTGTGAAGTTCAGATGGTATCGGATGGCAGCAGGATAGTTATATGGCTCTTTGCCGTGCCACTGGCAAAGGTGATAAAATCAGCGCGCGTTTATTTAACGGGCGCACGCGAATGGATATTGAATGGACTCGGAATGGCTGGCAAATACAAATTTTAGCTTAGCAAGTAATTGAATTGTTTTGCCTTAATGACCGGGAAACTTCGGAAATTCGGTATACTCGTAGATCGTAGCGCGCTGCCAACGCGCCGCATGAAACAACCGTAAACGACTGCCAAAGTTCAAGACAAGCTCGGAGCGAACCGCCGCTGAGCTTATGAGCCGCGAGCACTTTAAGCCACATACATACATGGAGAGCCCCTCACTCCACACTCCTCTGACCTGAGCCAGCGATCGGTCTGCATAGGTAGTCGCCCTATACCTTGCTCATAAAGAGAGAGAAAGAGGCAGAGAGAGGGAGAGCAAGAGACTGAGCGAGCGAGCGAGCGAGTGGCTACACATTGACAGCTCACAGAGCTTGTCGCATCCCGGGTCTATAATGATGCTGCAAGTTTTGTTGCCGCTGCTGTTGCCGCTGCTGTTGCTGTTGCTGCCGCTGATGAGTAAGACGTTGTTTTTGTGTAATTTGGATATAAACATTATGTACAACCCATTAGCAAATTAGTGCAACTATTTTCTTCTTTTTGTCTATTCATTTTTTTATGCATATTTAAACTTTAAAGTTTACTTTATAATTGCGTTCATTAGCATAGCATTAGGCAAGCCCTGAAGCTCTGCAGAGTAGGGAGCGCGTGTGCTTATCAAATAAACATGAATTAGATTATCTTGTATCCTTTTCTAGCGCCCTATTTTTGAGGTCAACTCTGCAGCGCGCTCCCTCTTAAGGCCTGGCTAAGAGATAACTTTACTTGAAGTCGGCCAACTTTAATATTTTGTCTTCAGTTCGCTCTTGCAGCGCGGCAGCTCTTGAGGTCTGCCTCTCTCACTTTATCTATATCTCTCTCCCTCTACCTCTCTCTCTCTCTCTCTGTTTCTTCAGGCGCCGCGTGGGTGCACTTGACAAGAGGCAAACGCATTAACAGGTTTTTTCATTTTTTTTTTTTCTGTTTTTGGGGCTCTGTGCGTGCCACGAATTTTATATGTGAGATTTACAACAACAACACTGGGCGAAGCTTTTGTTGAACTTGACACGATTGTTGTTGTAAATTTACAGTTGTTGTTGTACATACAAATGGCTTTTGGCTTCTTGTTGTTGCTGCCGTCATAGATATTGTGCAAAAACGTCGAGCTTTAAATATTAAACAAATGCAAAACGCGGCGCCAATTAAAGCCAAGCCAACGGGAGCTGCAAAATAAATGAAATGAATGATTTGAATTACATTTGTCTGAACTGTTTGTTATTGAGTGTTTGCACTCTTTCGAGAAGCAAGAAGAGTATATTAGTTGATGACATTGAACTGGATGCTGCTACTTAAAGACCTTTAAATTTGGCGTGGCAAATCACAAATCTCCTTGAGTTTTATGGTATAAATCTCCATATAATCAGTTGGACAATTTTCTGGAAACTTCCACAGATAAACGTTTAGCTTATAAATTATTTACACTTTTACACAGTGAACAAGTATTAGACAGTCGACTACAACTTTGTTGCTTTTTTATCATTGGGCGTAGACAATGGAAAACGCTCGGGTTCAATACAAAACAACTGTTATTCGAGCGCCAGCTGATGAATATGTGTGCAAATCATAAAACTGTCATTAATTTTTCATCTCCACTCGACTCATTTAAATTTCTATCAAATAGAGAAACCGGTTTATGTAAACCCCATTTAAATAGATATGAAATTTGCATGCAATCTTTAAATGAATTCACTCCTTCAATTTGTTGTCACCTCCCATTTAGCTGCTCCACATCCTCACGCTCATTATAAATATCACCAGCCCCATTGGGGCGCTGGCTGTAGCCGCAGCTCGTCTTGGGAGTGTTTTGTTTTTAATTATTTTGTAGCATTATCCACAGTTAGCCTAGTTTTTGAAGGGCCCTGAACCCAGTTTCTTATTTGCGTGCAGCGCGCTGATATCGTAATTTAAATATTTATTGCATTTTTTATGCCTCGCTTGCCACTTGACTACCAAGCAAGCACATCCTCGCTGCACACACACAAATACACACACACACACACACACGTACAGTGTGTCCCCCTTTTGTGTGACCTGAAAATTAAATTCAAATCTCGTGTAAATACCGAAGGCAAAGAAACAGTTTGTGTTCTACAAATTGATTGCATGTGTCCTGGTCGACTTACAAAAAAGAGAACAAACTAAATAGAATGACCTGAACGACCAAGAGATACCACAAGAATTGGAATGTATCCCAACTGTACCCTATCTCAAGTTTGCAAAGTCTTTCGATTTACATCTCATTGTCTGTTATCAAATATTTTGTCTTTTTTCTAATCTCTTCTCTCTGCCTCATATCTATGCCCAACGCTAATATACCTCTTTCCATACATGCCCAAAGGTATCAGATTAAAAAGCAAGCATCTGTGGCATTTGATAAAATGATGTATGAAATTTCACACGGCAGGAGACTGCCTTTCTGCTTGCCTGTCTGCCTGCCTATAAAGTAGTGGTGCCAATAAAAAACAATCAAATGTTACTCGGCGGCACGCTATGCAAATATATGTGTGTGCATGTATATGTATGTATGTATATCCTCATCGATGGCATGCTATGGCAATTCCAATTTATAGATAATTTGATACGAACTGTCAGTCATTCAGCCCGTCCATCGGTCGCTGAGTCAAAGACCGTGCTGCCAGCTGGCAATTGGCAATTGGCAATTGGCAACTGGCAAGTGGGAATTGGCACAAGGACATGCGAGGCGTAGCTTTGCTTGTGCGCGTTCATCGGAATGCATTTCTAATTTGTATTATGCTTGCAGCTTGCAGTTTGCTTGACTATTGCCATAAATATTTCAAGTCATGAGCCCCGGTGGGTGTTGAGTGCGTGCCTCCCTCGTCCGAAATAGAATGTGCTAAGTATTAAATGCAATTAAATGAATTAAACGACTTGCGAATGAGGCCAACGTGTCGTATAAGTAATACGAGCCACTGTCGCTTTTGTCGCTGTTGTCGCTGCTGTTTGCGTGTGTGGCACTCCACAGAACAATGACAGCAACAGCAACAGCAGCAGCCTGTGGCAGTCACAACATGTTCAAGTGGCACGCCTCCTCCCGCCCCTGTCCTCTGCTGTCCTGCTCGCTTATCACCAGCCCGTCATCGTCTAGAGGTGCACGGACAGCTGTCGAGGGGTCAAAGCGACGGAGCGAGCGAACGAGCGAACGTCCGATTGATGAGCAGCCAGTCTCTGGTCTCTGGACTTGCCCCCCGGCATGTTGGCGCAGAACTGTGTCATATAGAGTGCTAAAAGATTTATGTGCTGCACCTCGACTCACTCCTGCTCGCTTTGCCTCTAATCCTGTCTGTTTGTCTGCTCCCCACCCCGCCCCCTCCTGCTGCCCACTGCGCTCAATACGTGGCACAAACGACAACCGCTCACCGCAGGCTTAAGTGTCTCTAACTGCCAGACAGCTCAGTCACATATGACTCTCTGCCTCGCTCACTCTAGATAGAGGCTATCTCTCTCTCCCTCTCTCTCTCTTTCTCTCTGTGTCTTTCTATAAGTGTTTGTGTTTGTGTGGTGTAGTTTTTCATTTCGCATTGCCTACTGCCTGTTGTTGCTGTTGTGGCTGATGTGTGCCCTGCAGCAAGGCAATTCTGCATAATTGCCAGGCCCGTTTCGTTGACTGTTCCGTAGTTTGACCCCATAAGAGCGGCTCTCATAGAGCACAGCTCCTGAACTGGAGCCAATTGGTTGGGATTTTCGGATTTGTGCAGTTCATGTTGGCCATGAATAATGTAGGCAATTTGTGGGCTAAGACCAAACTGTGCAGCTCGAAAAAAAAAGAAACAATCATAATTGGAAGGAGCTATGCGATTAACTATAGCTATGGAAATAGCTATAGATGTGTAAATATATATAAATATTAATTTCTCTATGCATACATATTAAAATATAGAGAAAGATTTCTTGATGAAGGAAACATAATTCGAAGAATCTTTATTATTCACGTAGTACAAAAATTGCTTTAAAATATATATATGTGCTTAATTATATGGACATAGCTTAACATATAAGCTACTGATATTGACATATATTTCTATACTACTTATAGGGAGAGAGATAAAAATATAGCCAAAGATTTCTTCCCCTTGTTGAACAAAATTTCAGCAACTTTTATGCTTATGCTTAGCCAAGGCAACTCAACATATTCAACATCAGAGCCATCTTCATCAATACTCATCCATTTTCTAGTTAACAGTTCAGGTCTTAGGCACCAATCCTGCTGTTTGTCCCAGTCAATTGGCTGCACAAATCTTCATTTTGGCTCGGTCACAAAATTCAATTGCATTTGCCAACGAATTCCACTTAATGTCAGCGTTCGCCACCTGCACAATAATTTCCCAAAATGAATTACTGCGCATTAAGCTAACAAGGCACATACATATATACTACCTCCCACACAAACCCACTCACACACACGCACATACATTATACGATGCTGCTTGCAATCGTTGCGGCTGTCGTCGTCCTTCGCAGCAGACAAGCCAGGGACGCGATGCAGCCTGCAATGCTGGAGGCCAAATGGCTAAAAGAAGCAAMACAAAAACAAACAAACGAAACAAAAATGAAATGAGCGTGGATAAAGTAATGACAATAAGGCGCGAAAGCGCGCTCGGAAAATTCCAGCAGCGTAGCCAAGGCGAGAGCCCCTGAACCGCGCTCCGTGGGGGCGTACCATAATAACACGCATACGCCGCGTCGTACGTGCAAAATCAAAACATAAACCAAGCGTAGCCTCAAATCTAGTAGCTGCACTGGCTAGTGAAATATTCCGGGTGTGTGTATATGTGTGTGCATGTGTGTGCATGTGTAGGGTAGCGCTGGGTTGGGGTTGTTTTTATTTGGGTTTTTCGCTGCACTTCGTGCCAACATCGTATTCAAGTCGTGAGCGCGTGACCAGTAGCCGAGTGTGTGTGAGAGAGAGAGAGAGGCAGAGAAGGAGAGCGAGAGCGAGAGCGAGCCGAAGGAGTTTCCGTGCATGCATGATGATGATGATGATGATGTTGTAGCAACATAATCGCGCTTCGTGCAGCGCTGGTAAATTGCATTTCGTTTCGTGAATTCAGCTTTCAGTTCTGTTTCAGTTTCGAGTCCGTGCAGCTGCCTGCGAGCGGAGCCAGCCAGCCAGCCAGCCAGTCAGAGCTAGAGCCAGAGCCAGAGCCAGTGACTCGGCCGAGTGCAGAAGTTTAGCAAAGCAAAGCAAAGTAAAAGCAAACAAGTGCAGTTTGTGTTGTGTTACTGTGCGAGCGAGTGTGTATTTGTATTTGTGTTTGGCTTGTGTTTGCGTATGTGCATGTGCATGTGTGTGTATGCCCCCGCCGTAGCATAGATACAGAGATACCTACACATTTTCAGCGCCAGCCGCCTGAAAAGTGAAAACAAACCAGGCCAGCGCAAATTGAAAGTTCTTCAATTTGAACTCGACAAAGAAAGGAAATCGAATTCCTTGACTCTCTGGAGAGATTTCTTGGCATATTTGTTGCTTGAAAATACGACGCACAATCTACAAGGCGACCATGTCGACGCTGCCATTCCTGCTGAGCGTGGCCGACGAGCTGGACAACATCCACACACAATCCTACCTGGACGACTTCGGTCTGGGCTTCCATCCGCACCGTCAGTACTATCGCACGCCCACCATTCAGCTGTCGCTGCCAGCGAGCACAGACTGGACTGGACGCACCGATTGGCAGGGACGACATGCGCGCTATCGCAGCTACAAGTTCTACGATGATTCGGAGAACAATCTGGAGGAGGAGCAGGAGTCGGAGGCGGAGCAGCAGCAGCAGAAGCGRCAGCAGGAGCAGCACAGCCTGCAGCTGGAGCAGCAGGACATCAGCCAGGAGCAGGTGCAGCAGCAAAAGCAACAACTCCAAGCCCACACTGCCAGCATGGTCAAGTCGAACTCGCATGACGTGGGCGTGGGTGGATTGGGTCTGAATCTGAGGGCCGGCGAGGAGGAGGACGACGAGAACATCGATCGCACCGTGCGCATGTACAATCTGTCCAAGAAGTGCTGCAAGAACTACTATCGGCATGCCTTGGAGATGGACGGACCCGGCGCCAGTGGCCGGAGCAAGTGCAGCAATGCACACACCGAATGCCATCAGTTGTTCTCCAGCTCCGAGGAGAGCCTGCAGAAGGTGCCCTCGCCCATTGAGTTCCTCACCTGCTTCCTGGTGAAGAAGACGCGCACGCCCAAATGCTCCAGCCATGCCGCTGCTGCCGGCCGTGCGGCAGTCGGGCAGCTTAAGAAAACATAGAACGCGGCCGCGTTGCTGCCAGCAGCAACGAGAGTGACAGCAACTGCAACTGCAACTGCAACAGCCACAGCCACAGCAACAACAACAACCGCTTCGGTCTCAATGACATCGACGTCGACGTCGAAGCGGCGCAGCAACTGTTTCTGAATGTTGGCCAGAGTCGGTGTGCTCTGCGGCCAGGCCTGGAGCTGGCTGCAGCGTTGCGGCGAGCTGCCCAGCTCGGAGCCAACGACGTTGCCTGCAACGCGCCTGGGACGGATTACCTACTAGGCGCATATTCCATATTGGATAGCAGGAGGCGTGGCACACGCGACTAACACACACACACGCACACACACAGACACACGCGCACAAACACAATGGCAAATTGGTTTTAACTATGGCAAAAGGCTGGCAACAGGAATTTGCATAGAGATTCGTGCGGCGAGCTTAATTTGCAGCAAACGCCGCTTGAACTACACACACACACACACACACACACGCACACACCGAAATTGTTTTTTGGATTCCTTAATAATCGTAAAGCAACTCAAATACAAAACACAAATTTTTAAGCCAGAGATTTTTTAACGAAAATAATGCGAATTTGTTAAGCAAACGTTTTTTATATGAATTTTTTGATACCTAACAAGCAAAACAAACAGATTACTATTTATATATACCTTATATATATATACACATATTATATATACTATATTATACATACTTGTACTTGAAAATATGGGCAAATTTAAGGCACAGCCAAACAACAACACTAGCTCACACACCCAGACACACACACACCCACACACGCACAGGAAAAGTTTCGTTTTTCGGGTAACAAAAAAAAGGGGAAAAGTTTTTTATAGCACAGCAAATGAAGAACTAACAAAAATTGCAGGAACTTTTCGACAATGTCGGCAAGTGTTGGAGTGGGCTCTGCTGCAGTTCGCAGAGGTTATGAAAAGTGAAACATGTAACAACAAAAAGCAGCTGAAGAACAAGAAGAAGAAGAAGGACATTTGTGGTCCTTGTGCCATATGAAATGGAAATTTTGTTAAACACTGAAACTGGAAAACGAGATAAAACTTATTGGTTTACGATTTGATGATGCCCCACGTAATATTTCCGTGTTCTTAACGTATTCTAAATGTTGACAAAAAACAAAAAAACAAAACCAAAGAAATACAATTTAGACAACTTGACAATTTTATACATAAACGAAGAGAAAACACAAAAAAAAAAAAAAATGAAAATTAAATGAAAATCGTAGCTGTTTGCACTTTCAGAGTTTAGTCTAAATTAGAACTACAAATACATGATATATCATACTCGTATTATATATGCTCGTTCTTTTAGTACCATGAATACTATATATAACTATATATATACATATATATTTAAACACACATATAGCTTTACAAAAACTGAATTATAATTGCATATTTCAACATATTTGGCGTGGTCAGGTGAGAATGGATTTCTCCCTGGCGCAGCGCCTATTAACAGTTAGTTGTTACTTGATGTCAATCATAATCGATATAGTTAACTTAAGAGCTCTCTCCCTCTCTCTCTCCCAATAACATGGCAAATGTAGCAAACCGGAAAACGTTGAACTCCAAGCACATGAATCATATCTTATATAACATATGTATATGTATATGCATACATGTATACATGTATACATGTATATGTATAGAGCTTGCAGGCTCTAGTTACTATCGCATAGATTAGACTTATTTTCGATATCATCTTCTTCTTAAGCACTCTACCAACTCGTAACTGCATACTTTAGCAACGCCAGGCATATCATAACGACAAACTTCGCCTAGAAATCGTAAACATAATTCAATTTGAGAATCCAATAAATGAATGTGTAACACAAAGAACTTCAGCTTTTACTACTGTATTACGTATTGAATCCTTACAGATTGCGCACAGTTGGCCTTGGACGGAGACAAGGACATGTGCTGTGCCATATGTCCTTCATGGTATGACATTCGCATTAATTTTCCACGCGGACACTCGGAACAAATTTCCAACGTCAAACTCAAAAATTTCAAGTGCAAAGTGAGGGAAGACACAATTTGTGACCTTTGAGCAAAAAAGGACGATAGCCAAACGGCATGTCCTTTAACATGCATATGAGCTCCAAGCTGATGGCTGCTGCTGCTTTTGCTGCTACTGCTGCTGCTGCTGCTGGCTGCGGCTATCCTGGCCCTGGACATACCAAGGATACGACGTCACCTTTTCCTTTTTGGAATTTCAAATGAGTTGCACTGACACTGGCGACACTGCGACACAACCTTTAACTCCCTCCCTCCCCCATTCCCATCCCCCGMCCCGCCGTGACAGGCGCTGCAGACAGCGCGCATCAAAGACCGCATCGCACATGGCATTTGTGCCACCTGCGCCGCATTCACTTTCCATTTCAGCGGCATTCTCAAACTCTTCCTCTCTCCCTGTCCCTCTCACTCTCTCTCTCTCTCTCCATTTCTCTTTGTATTGGGTTCAATAGCACAACACAAAAATAGACTAATGGAGCGTCAAAATGTTGCACGTAGTACAGCTGTGCTGCAGCTCCCCCGCGCACTCGGCCATCCGCTGGCTGGCGGGTCTTATAAATAAATCCTTGTTTCCTTACGTATGCAAACAAGTGCAAGACCATTGTGGGCGTGCCTCAGGCGCCGGAATGGACAAAAGGAAATGTGTTTCGCTCCTGATGCCCTGCTTGCATTAGGCAAGGAGAGAATGGGTATGCTAATGCCAATTATAGAGTTAGAGAACAATAGTGAATATGTGTAGGAGCTAGTTTTAGCTGTGACTGCATTTTCATAAGATTCCATATCCATAACCATCTCTCTCATTTCAGCTAGCATTACAGGGTATTTACTCTACATACGCACTAGTAACTGGTCTTTGCAGGGTATCTACTAGTCAGTCACTCTGCTCATCTCAGAGCTGCACTGTTTTCTGTTCATTTTCTTGTCTGCTCCAAACAGAAGTGAAACTTTTTACGTGCTGGCTTTATTCATGTCTCTAGTTACTTCGACGTTCGAGCTGCGACTCGGGCTGCATTTCCCTCTGAATGGGCCGGCCGGCGCAGTGAGCGGGGGACGAAACACTGGTGCTCACTCGCACGGCCAATTACAGTTTAAGTTGCGCCCGAGCCTGGTCTGCTCCGTCTCCAACTTGGGCAATGGCACCGCATTGCAGTGGCTGTGGCAGCCTGTGACGCTCCGCTCCTGGGTTCGCCTGCACCACAAAACGTTTGCCCTTTTTGTGGTCGAGTCTACCTTGGCGACTGTTTGGCCGCAATTTAGTTTTCTTTATATATCTTTCTTGTGCACCCAATTTGCCAGCGACTGCATTTATGGCAACACCAGAGCACGTCACTTGACTCTGGGCTGGGCTGCTCATGAACTGTGCTCCCATGGCGGGCCCTGGTGTAATGTCGCACTGATTGATTCGCCACGCCCCATTAAAGTTTATATTTTGTTTAAATGTTGTGTTTACGCCGCACGTTATTGATTTGCTGTAATTAGTTTGGCACAATTTCAGTCGAGCCATTCCATTAAATAGACGCGAAACGAGCCCGTAATTACGTATACGTAATTGCTGCGGTTTTGCACAATTTGTGTAGCATACTTTCGGGCGGCTGCATAAAATATTTATATTGAATGCATTCTGCTGCTGAATGGAATGGGAAATGCACTGGATTATGATGATGTTTTCATTAAGTTTAATTTATATTAGTTTAGTCCAAGTATTTAGCCAACTCACGTGCTTAAATTGATTTGGGCAATTGTGGTCTCTTTGCAGAGGTGTTGTCACTGCACTAGAATAAATCTGTTCTTTCTTTATTTCTGTAGCTGCTGCCTCTGGCAGCTTGCCCGCTGGCTGACAAATATGTGGCGAGCAAATGAGTGAACATTTATGGCCATAGACTGGCTGCTAGTGAGCGTATTGCACGCGCCACACCGTCAATAGGCGAAGAGGTGCATCGAGCAAGACGCGCAGCCCCACACCCACAGCCGCGAGAACCCAGAGCCAAACAGAGACTGAGACCCACCCGCCTCGAGGCAGCTGGCGAGGCACATCCACAGCTCACCTGTGGGTGGCCGCATGCCAAGCAATCGAGATCCACTTGGATTTGCTTTCTATATGAACATCCAGATATAGCGCAGTTGATCTTGTGTAAGCGACTGGCAAAGAAAGTGCCTGAATGCGACCCACACCCTTTGGCATTGATCGTTGGGATCGTTTGCTTCGCATTTGATTTGATTTTGCCATAAACTCAAACAAATTAGTCGATTACATAGTTGTTTTTTTTTTTCTATATAGAATTGTTTACCGATAATTACAATGCATTATTGTCACTAGTTTTTATTGTCGTTGTTGTTGTAGCTGCTGCGGCACTTCATTGATTTTCAAACGAGAACTTTGCGCGCGCATTTCACGGCTACACTAGACTACAACGCAAATGTTTAGCAACAATGAATGGAAATCTCTATATGAGCCGTATAGATAATATAAAAGTTATTTATAGTCATACAACTAGAACTGCAAGTATAATTAGCTCTGTGAATTTACTTTCGCATCACAATCGCAACTTAATCATTATTGCATATAAAAAGATCATCAGCTAGCTTAAGTATAACTGCATGTTATTTAGTTATTAATTTATGTTTAACTACTGCATTCAATGCTGTATTTCGCATCATCAACGACAGCCCACTCGCATTTTGCGACATTTATAATTAATTGCTGAATTTCTGTTTCTATTGATGTGCACCGCGCTGTCAATTGCTGACTAAGTCACAAACTCATTGAACTCATTGGAAGATACATAATATATACTATATATATATGTACATACATGCATGTATGTGTATGCGTGTAGGGCATGGCATGTAAATTGTCGCCGTTGTCTTTATAATTACTATCAAGCGCTGGCAATATCTATCGCCAATACAACAGCAACAACAAGAGAACAAGAACAACATCAAATACAATTATAAACGGGTGGGGTCACACACACACACACACATACACAGAGCGATGTGTGAGACGGGGTCACGGGGTGTCGGCAGGTCAGGCCCATAAATGTTGCGATTCACGATGAGTTCATGTAGCTTTGTTGTTGTTGTTGTTGTTATTGTTGTTGTTGTCGCTAATCTTTGGTGCAAATCGATGGCAAAAGCCGAAAAGCCGTTTAGCAGACAACATCGCCATACAAATTGCCTTTTGTTATGACAGCCAGCTACAAATGTTTCAATCCAAGCGTCGAACATGCTACAGACACAATATTCCTCTCTCTCTATCCATCTATATCTATATCTTTAGCTATATCTGTCTCTGTCTCTGTCTCTGTCCCTGTCTCTGTATCTGCCATAGCCGTGGAGCTCTGCTAATTGAAAATGAAAATCCGCATAAAAAGTCAATGCCGTATTTGGTAAAAAAGTGAAAAGAATTATGCGACGTTTTCAAATCTTTGTTTTCGCATTTCCGCCAAAGAAATGTTGTTGTTTATTTATTTATTTCGTGCTTTAATTTAGCCCAGGCTAGCTTCACATTCATATGGACAGCCTCACATAATAGCGGAAATGCTGCGTAATTAAGTTGAACTTTGTGCGCTTGGACGTTATGGGAGACTAGCTTTTCAGACTAGCTTGCCCAAAAGATGCTCTGGGCCATAGCTGAACAGGGTCAGATCTTAGCAACTTGGGTAAGTGCGGAAGTTTGTCAGCTCGGCCCATTGGCAGAGCAAGTACCCCCAAGGAAATGCTATTGAGCAGTCAAGTGGGCCGACTGCAGCGGCCCACCAGCCCAGCGCAGCCAACGGCAAGCAGCAGCCCCACCAAGATCGAGTCGCCAGCTGGAGCTGCTGCATACGTCACAGCTGTCATTGCTGCTAGCGGCTGGTGGCTGGCTTAGCCCACTGGAGGCGCAGCTCTATATAAGGCGGCGATGCTGTCAGTATCGAGCTTAATTGACTTTGCGCTAAAATCGCGTGCGGACGTTCAGAAAACGCGGCGAATCGTGAAACGTAAAACGGAAAAGTTTTCTATCTAACTCAAGTCGGTTACAATTCGCAACGCGCTGCTGCGTCCTGCCCAAAAGGAAGGCACCCAAACTCACACACACACACACATAGTCGAGATGGCTCTGGTACCAGCATCGAACAACAGTACGGATTGGGATTATTGGGATTATCGGCGTCGCTTGTGGCGTGATTGGGATCTGGCCGCCGACTGGGACTTGCCCTACTGGAAGCGTTTGTCGCGCGTCGGCTCGGCGCCCGATCTGAGTCGCGTTGTCGTTGGCAAGGATGGATTCGAGGCCAATGTGGATGTGCATCAGTTTAAGCCATACGAGATAACCGTGAAGACGACCGGCGACACCGTCGTCGTGGAGGCCAAGCACGAGAAGCGCCGCGATGGCGACAGCTTCGTGGGTCGTCACATTGTCAAGCGATTCGTGCTGCCGCGCGGATACTATCCCAACGATGTGCGCTCCGAGCTCTCCTCCGATGGGATACTCACCGTGCGCTGTCCTCCCTATCTGAGCAACGAGCGCAGCGTCTACGTGCGCCAAGTGGGGCCGTCGTACCTGAGCATTAAGAACTAACACACAGACACACTAACACTCACACACACACACACACACTCACACACAATCAGATAGACAGAGAGGATGTTGTTTTGTTGTTGTTTGTTTTCTGTTGGCGGCACTGCCTTGCGCAAAGCTTTCCAAAAATGGCACACGAAACGAGAATTTGTTTACAAAATTAATTTAATTAATTTAAGATATATTTCGCACAAGCGCTTAACTGAATGGAAGACAAATCTGATTGGACTCTTTTTTTATTGTAATTAACCAAAACCGATTTTATAGTTCAATAAACCGAAAGTTTAATTTATTAAAAACGAAACCAAGTGATTTATTTAATAGAACTTACGATTTCAGGCAAAAAGGGAAATCCTGATAATAAAAATAAAATGGACATCGCGTGAGAGTCCAAAAAACAAAAACAAATGTCATTTCGAATGTCGACAGAAATTGGCCCAAACGAGACTCGGTCAGCGGCAAAGCACAGACAAACGAGTCTTTAGACAAACATACATATATAATTGTATATATATTATATATAAATAAATATTCTATCTAGAACGCCCTTGGGCAATTTCCGCAAATGCCAACTATGGTAAGGTTTAATTGTAAATAAAGCAATAAACAACAACAACAACAACAACAGCAGCAGCGGCAACAGCAACAAGAAACCTGCCAGCCTGGAAGACTAGAGCAGCGAGCACATACATAAGCCCACATACATACACAGGCACATGTGTCCCAAGAAAGCCCCCAATCGAAGTGTGTATATAAATAGTCTACAGATACAACTGACAGCTGACCATACTGGTCAATGAATTAACAAATAAATAGTGCAAAAAGCAAATAACAACAAAAATCATCAGCAAATAACAATGTTTGTAAATAAAGTCGCACGCCCACAATGCAAACGGCGCGACGCGGTGCGACGCGACTTGTGCGCTGTTTAAAACGCGCGCAATTTGCTGTGTGTGCCAAACGGCCAAACGAACGACTTTTATAGCAGCTGCCTGTCAATGGGTCAATCATTGACTAGGTTCATTCAATGCCTAACCCGAAAACACTTTGTTGTAGTTTAAGCAATCAATTTGTCAATCACACGGTTGTGGCTGCAAATGTCAGAACCGATCCAATTTGGAGTTCTTAATGCTTAGTAGATTCTGCTCTTCAAGTTGCCTTTGTTTGCCTTTAGCTTAATAGTATATAGAATATAAATCCACTTGTTATATTTTGTAGAATTCAGAATGTGTATGCGAATCATTATTTATTTATATGTAGGTTTAATTAGCCTGAATTATTTGTTTCGAATTCGATTTGCTTCTCAGCTATTTGCTGTCTCGCTTACTCTTTTCATTGAGCTGTCATTCCCCGCGTTTTTATAAAAATAGACTCCCATAGAGGGCGCTGCATATCAACTGCAAATAAATATTGCATACTTTCAGGCTGCAGTTTTATTGAGCTGCTGCTTTAGCTGAGCCCGCACTAATGCACTCACTGGTCAAATAAATAAGCCACCCCATAAATAGCCCCACCGACTTGTCATTGCTTCTGAAATAATGATCTTGAGCCATTCTTTTGCTTTTTGCGCGTTGACTTACGAGCGAGCTTTATTAACGATACCTACAACTAATTAAAACATGCAAAATGTATGTCTCTATATAACAATGACTGCCACATTTACGAGTGGTGCGAATGGTGTTGGTGCTGGTGCTGGTGCTGGTGAGTGGTGAGTGGTGATGCTTGACTGGTTGGCTCTCTGTGCGGATGTGGAATTTCAATGCCAGCTTACTGCTCGTCCTTCTGTGCTGGTGGATGCGTGCGAATGTATTCGAGGGCGCGCAGCACATAGGCGGGAACGGGAGGTGGGGTGGGCAGATGATCGCCAACTGGATGATAGCCCTCCTCGTCGGCGGTGTAGCTCAATGAGATTTGCTCGCCTTCAGGCGAAACATAGGCAACGGAGCCGCGTACGCCCGAGGGATTGCCCGCCTCCTGCACCTGAATGCCATTGCTGGTCTCGTAAGCAAACTGATAGTTGCCCTCGGCATCGGAGGCGTCATTCTGGAAGCTGCGAATCTGTGCGTCCTTGTTGATGTTGTCGGCGCAGGCGCAACCGATGAGAGCGAGGCAGAGCACCTGTAATTAACGCTTGCGATTAGCGATGCGAACTCAACGGGTCACAGTGGAGCTTACATATTTGAACATCTTGACTTGGAGCTTGTCTGAAGACTTGGGTTGGGTTTAAGTGTTGTGGTATGGATGCTTCAACTGCAACTGATTGCTCTTCTCAACAGCGTGCCGGCTTTTATATGGATATGGATCTTGTGGTTCAGTGTCGCAAACGGGTTTTAATCGGTTTTTATGGCACCAGCAATGGCAAACTGGGGAGCTCACAATTGGCAACTACACATGGGCGAAGAGGGCACCAATAATTGCCAAAAATCGTATCATCATAATCGAAACATTAACAACAACGACAACAACAACTGCAACAGCAACAGCAACAGCAACAGCTATAACGCGGTTAACTATAATCGAATAACCGAATACCTTAAAATGCATGAGTCATTTGCCAGCAATTTATTTCCACGCTTTAATTTCGGTGTCAGTTTTGCATTTGCCCCATGCACCTTTATTTCTTTATTTCCCACCCAAAACCCTAAATTATTTGTGGCTTACACAAACAACACACACGCACAGAGGCAATCAAACTACATACCATACCAGAAAAGCAAAAAACAAAAAAAAAACAACAACAATAAGACAAACAGAGAGCAGCAAATATAAATAACTTAACAACTTTCAATGGCCGTCTCCCCTTCGAGCCCTGCGGCGCCCGTGCTCCAAATAGTAGTTGAAGTTCGATTTGGCTGTCGATGTGGATGCGGAGTTGGCAGGTGCGCGTGCCCGCTTGGAAGCTGGCGCGAATTGTCCAACTTGAAGAGCTGTTGAAATGTTTGGAAGCGCAAGGTCGTCACAAAAAGCATTTGGACGCACAGACGACAGACGGCAGACGGCAGACCGCAGACCGTAGACGACGATACTCTGAAGATCATGATGATCCATTGTGAATTAGATGTTTGCACTATTAGAAATGCTTATTTTAATTGATGCAATCTTGTTTCTGGCTAGCTGAGAAAATGTTGTAATGATATCTGTAAATAAAACTAAAACTAAATGGAAAATAAATCATTTTCGTTGGCCTTTCCTTCATGTCTTCTTGCATAAAATATAATTTATGCTTACTTCTGCTTCTGCTTCTTGGCTTTTTGTGTGAAAAACGTGTTTAGCTGTGCGAATATGATTGTCAATAGGGAAGTAATTAAACAGTAATTAGTATTATTAAATCTTAGTTATATGTTAAAATTCACAGCTTATCAGTCTCATCCAAGAAGCAAAAAGTTAAATAAGAGGAATTCTAAGAACCAAAAACAAGCAAATATTTAATAATATATAATTTGTATGTGTGCCCCAGATTGAAGCTAATTATGAGCAGCGATATGATTGGACTAGATCATTCAATTAAAGTGTGTTAATGGAAAACTTCAACCACAATATTAAATATAATTATAAATAATTATTTTAGATATTTATTTAAAATCAAATGAACGATAATTAAAATAAATAAAGGCTATATATAATATTAGAAGTAACAGATTTTTAGCACAAATGAGAAAAAAAAAAATTTATGGCAATTATATTGTGATTATCATTTGCAGCTTTTAGTTTTGATAACTTCATTAATTTGCTGTTCTTTGTTTTTGGTTAATCATAGTAAACATGGTGTGTTTTCGCTATTCTAACAGGTTCAGCATGTCGACATAATTCAAAAATATTTGAAGCATGCGAGACAAGATTAGCCTAGCCAAATAATATATTCATATCATCGATTCTTATATATTTTTATTTTATTTTTATTTTATATATAAAAACTTGTTTATATTTAAGTTTAATTTGCTATATATATTTACATATGCATTTTGTTTTACTCATTATGTGAACGTGTTATACATTCGACAGCTTCATAAATGGACTTTAGTAAAACAAAAACAAAATATATTAAATTAATTTGGGTTTACAAATTTATGGGCTTTGCCCATTATAAATGTAAAAATATATGTCTCAAAGTAGGAAATATTGTTCATAAATATTTATGGTAACCAATATGTTATTTACTTCAGCTCTCAGCGACTGTCAAAAGATCTTGAACGGCCCACGCGATAACAAAAACAAATAAGAGTCAAATACGAGTGAAGAATGCATTATCCATCATCTAAATGCACACTCGAAAATACAAATTAGTTTGGCATTTTAGCAATTCAGATTCAAACTTGAATTGAATGTGCCGAATGCAAGATTTAGATCGCTGCTCAGCAAGTTTGTGTTCTAAGTCTTTTCGGCGTGTACACGTGATTATGAGAATCCGCTCTAATGGGCTGGCAGGCGCCAACGAGTGGGCATTTTATTAGCCATTATGTAAAGAGCAAGGCCCGCTTTCGGCTCTCTCAGCTCATGGCAACATTGGTACTATTGAAACAAATACTCCGCGGATCAGCTAATTTATTGTCATGCCACAATATTTGTATGCTAATGCGAGCTTGTTCCAAATTTGACTGAAGAATTCTTCTTTTTGCCTAATTAAATAATTAAACTGGTTTGCCCCAATGCTGAATGGATAGCCAAATCGAAATTGAAAGTGATGATAAATAGGCTTTTAGTTTACCATTTTCTATTTTTTGTTTTTTAAGTTTATTTAATTTAAGCTAGTTTAGTGTGTTCAATGAAGTTGAATCATAAAATATTGCGCCATCTTACGGTCGCTTCATTAAAAAAATAAACAAATATAAAAAAAAAAAAAACAATTTTAAAAGATCACAACTAATGCGGTTATCTCGATGGATTCATCAACCGAAGCAAACCACTTTGAGTGAGTTTAAAAAATTATCGATGTGCAGCCTATGCACATCTAAATACTACTATATATGTATATGTATGTATGTATGTATGTATAATATATATGTATATGTTTTGCCCCGCATTTTATTTAACTTCATCACATTTCGCTATTTGCCTAAAATATGCACAACTTAAGCTTAACTGATATTTAGTACAACGCGTCGTCAGAGCAGCTCAACAGCAGATTAGAAACGACGACGACGACGACGACGGCGACGACGAAGATGACGACGATGGCGTCGCAGCGCCTACATAGAGTCAACATTTTTTTTTTTTTTTTGGTGAGTGCGAGTATAAAAACCAGAGATACGCAAAGACAAACAAACAGTGTGAATTAGACGAGTCAAACACAATGTTCAAGCTAGTGAGTAGCAGAGCAAAGCGCAAGCTGAGAATCACCAGGATATTCAATCAACGTTAACTAATTGAAATGAAATTCATTTTGCAGTCGATCTGCCTCATCGCCGCTCTGCTGGTCTGCGCCCAGGCTGACCACATCGACAAGGATGCCCAAGTGCTGAGCGAAAGGAGTGATCCCGCCGATGCGGAGGGCAACTATGCGTATGCTTTCCAAACCAGCAACGGCATCCAGAGCCAGGAGGCTGGCAATATCAATGGCGTCAGTGGATCCTACGGTTACACTTCTCCCGATGGCCAGACCATCTCTTTGACCTATACCGCCGATGAGAACGGATTCCATCCCGTTGGCGATCACTTGCCCACTCCTCCACCAATTCCCGATCATGTGGTGAGGCTGTTGGAATACATTGCAGCACATCCCCCCCAATAGAGCTCCTATCAAATTCCGTTTAGTTACATCATAAAATAGCGTGCATTAAACCAAAACAAATATTTGAAATACAGTAGAAGAAAAAACTAAATCATTTTAATTGGTAATATAAATATAATAAAAATATATACAT